ATACATTTTGTGAGGACACTATAAAAATAACCTTCAAAATATCTCATAATGTGTGTACGTGGTGGTTTTTGATTATAACATGCAGTAAGGCATCCATGGAAAATTGGCTGCAGCACGATTACAACCCTAATTAGGCTTACGAGACAAGAAATGCAAGCATGTGTGTGTTTGTGTGTGAGAGTGTGTTGTAAAGTAGAGTAGCTGAAGGGGTTAGCAGGCAGGAGAGCTGAAAGGAAACACCGTTGTGTTGATTTTTAGGAATGCAGCATGCCAGAGGCCTGGCTCGGCTGGCACCAGACCCAAATACCTTGCCCACCCCTCTTCCTGTGCCTGTTCCCTTTCTTCCTCGTCTCTCCAGAGAGCCACTGCTACACTCCTTCCCCCAAACTGCTGACCCCCCACCCCCTGTGAAATGGGAGAGCCCTCGTCTCCACTTCCTCTGACCAGATCAGCAATCACCCTCCCCCCAGCAACATTCCTGCCCTGGCGTTGCTGTTGCTGGCCGGCTGTCACAACTGGCCGGCCAGAATAGCTCTGTGACGTCTGCTGAGTTACTAGAAAATTGAACTCTCCCAAGAACCCCGGGAACAAGGATATGTAAACGGACAAAATGTATCTGTCCACTTGTGGCCACACAGTCTCTGACACAGACACAGCTGCCCAGGTGCACTTGGGTCAAAATGCACACAGAGACACACATGCAAAGTATTACATGATGATTCGGTGGCGTTTCTAGACTACTTTAATTAGAGGAGAAGGTTGTGCTTCTAGTGGTGGCAACTTAAATATCTGACTACAAAATACATGCAATGACATTTTTAACAAGAAAATAATAGAAATACCAAATTATAAAACAAAAATTTAAGGTTTGTGATTCCTACAAACTGTAAATATTTGATGTTCTTTTGAATGATAAAAAATGAAAGGGATCTGGTTTTATCAGCTCGTTTGGCTGTGCAATTAATTACAGTGAATGTTAATAACAACAACAATAATACATTTATATACAAAAAATACATGTGCAAAAATTATATGCTTTTGTGTAGTTTAATGAGAGTGAATGTTTAATAAAATATATATATTATGTGTGTATGTATTTATTTATATATAAATGTAGAGAGAGATTATTCTGATATGATATGATTGTGTTTACATTTTATATGTATGTATGTTTCACAAGAAAATATTATTTCAGTCTTTCTGCTTGAAAATGTCATGTTTAATTCAGTGTGTAAATTGTCTATTCTTTGTAATTAATTGTGAAATTTACTAGCAATTTCTGAGTGAAAATTGTTTCTACACCATATTTTTTGTACGTTGCCTGTTAAGAACTGACCAGGATTACAGATGAAAATTAGCCTTTAAGGCTAAATGCAATATCGCAATATCAAGGTGTTAATATCTCATGCATTTATGCATGATAGAATGCAGACAGGCAACACAGACTAGCTGTTCTTTCGATATATAGGGATAACTGCAGGCTGGAGCAGTGGGTGTGGCAAAAGATTAGGGCGTGCCGAAAGGTAGGAGGTGTGGATAAAGGTCTTTCTAATTGGTTAGGTTTTGGAAAAGTACAACAGCTCCCCCCAACCTAGCACCCATCTAGGCAGGTTTGGAATAGGAAGACTGAGGAAAGGTGCACGGGTCTACGCATGTCAGATTAGGGCTAGGGTTAAGGGTTAGTTTCTGATGTAGCATTCACCTTTTGGTAAGCCACCTTTTGCCACGCCCTTTACTCCGACCTGCAGCTACCCCTGTCTATATATTTATTAGGAAAATGAGGTCTGTGAGTGAACGTATGCTCATGGATGAACAGGTGCTGCCTGCAAAAAGCGTCACGTTTGCCTTACCTGTGAGCAAAGCCATATCACCTGCAAAAAGGTATCTAAAACTTTCCCAAGACTTGCTGTGTGTTTCATAGAAACATAAGCAGTATTGCAGCTTTTTGTCAGTGTTATGCAAGTAGGTAAATGATTACTGATCAGTTCAACGTGAAATGCTGATGGTCGCCGTGATTTTGCCAAGTAAGACATGTTCCTGGATCAACATCTTTTCAAAAATACAGACTTAACCCAATCCCCCTAAACCTAACCCTACCCATAATTTATTTCTAAAATCAGAGGGAAATGATAGCTGATTAACAAGGGTGTAGAAGCACCTAATCCTGATTGTAAGCCTAAAACTGACATTTCCTGAAAAGTTATCTCTCAATTCTGATTGGTTGAGGGGAATGATGTTCCAGGATCAACAAGGATGTTGATCCAGGAACATGTTGTACTTGGTCAAATCACGCTCACCAAATGCTGACCTTTTCAAGATGGCGGTGCTGTTGGCATATCTAATTCAGCAAAATTTTCGCTAGTTATTAATTTACACTTAAAGGAGAAATATTATGCCCCTTTTTACAATATGTAATAAACACTGAACAAAATTATAAACACAACACTTTTGTTTTTGCCCCCATTTTTCATGAGCTGAACTCAAAGATCTAAGACTTTTTAGACCAACTTGAGTGGGCAAATGCTCACATTCAATGGCGTCTGGCACTTTGGAGAGGTGTTCTCTTTACGGATGAATCCCGGTTTTCACTGTACAGGGCAGATGGCAGACAGCATTTAAGGCGTCATGTGGGTGAGCGTTTTGCTGATGCCAACTTTGTGGATCGAGTGGCCCATGGTGGAGGTGGGGTTATGGTATGGGCAGGCGTATGTTATGGACAACGAACACAGGTGCATTTTATTGATGGCATTTTGAATGCACAGAGATACCGTGATGAGATCCTGAGGCCCATTGTTGTGCCATTCATCCACGACCATCACCTCACGTTGCAGCATGATAATGCACGGCCCCATGTTGCAAGGATCTGTACACAATTCCTGGAAGCTGAAAACATCGCTGTTTTTCGGGTCTGTCTCTTTAAATGCAAATGAGCTGCTGCTCCCCACCCTTTTCCAGAATAGAGCTGCGCCATTACACCTCGGACCTGCTAAAAAACATCTGTTTTGGTTCTGATTATCATGTTTATCGTGCTGAAATCATGCGTTTTAAACAATATTAGTTTAAACTTCTGATATACGGTTTTCTGAGCGCACACAACCGTAGCACACGGACAGAAAGCGGCCACCAGATGGCATGTGAGTACTAAACTAAGTTCTCATTCACACACAAGTTTACGTTAAAAACACAGGAGTTACAAAAACAGTTGGTTATGTCTGTGAAGGAAAACAGCTGGGAAATCAATCGCATGTTTATTTTAGATCTGTGTGGCAGCAGCAATATTCATTAAATAAATCAATAAATCCACTGCTCTCTTGTCTCCTCTGAGGCTGGGACTCTAAATAGTGTTCTGTGTTCGTCTGTGCAGCCAAAGACAGAACAGTTAGCATGTTTTGCTCAAACTTTCACCATGGCATTACACCATTGTCGCTTGCTAAATCAAACTGACGGTGCCATGGGTGGAAACGTGCAGATTAAGGGGCGGTAATATTATAATGAGATCCCTTTGCCACGACACCAAGGTAGCGAAATCAGACGCGTTAATTTTTTCAGATGCTTGCAGAAAAAGGCTTACCAATACAAAGTTACTGGATTAATCTTTTTCACGTTTCCTTGGTCTGTAGATGCACCAGGGAACTGATTATAGCACTTAAAACCTGGAAAAATCTGATTTCCATGATGTCACCTTTAAAAGAATGTGTTAATTTATCAACATTAAAATACATTCTCCTAACTAGCTATCTAAATGTGAACATTCTATAAACTTCTATTGTTTTTATATACAAAAATTGTTATATATAGCCTACTATAACCTAACCCTAAAATTGTATGCATTTGTACCATTTATTTTCTTTATTTTTACAAATAAATAATAATACCTATTTTACAAATGAGCAGATTAGCTCACTTCTGGGTAAAATTTGTTCCCAAAATATGGTTAAGTAGGTTCAAAGACACACCAAACCAAGGGCGTAGATTTGATTTTGACATTGGTGGGGACATAACAGCAATTTAGGGACAATTTAGAAGACGCTGGATATTGGTAGGGACATGTTCCTAGCGTCCCTACTAAATTCTACGCCCTTGCACCAAACTACCTGTAATCCTTTCATGTACATCTTAAAACATTGCTAAAAACCAAATATTTTTATGGTTCTTACCATCTTTATAAGTTACTGATAAAACTCAAGGCCATATGATCTAGAATATGTGACTGAGTTTTATGTAACATATTGTCGCTTTCTACAAAAACACTTCAACAGACCGTCTGATAAACATTCACTTTCAACTTTCAAGTACATTATGAACACAAGGAATCCAATAGACGGTCTGACCTGAATGCGCTTCACATAAAGATCCTCACAACAAAAGCGAAACACTCTCATAGAGCATCTGAGGGAGCGTGACACCACAGCTCAGTTCTGTGTCAGAAGGAATGATGCATGTTGACTGTAGCCCTGGCTGTGATTGTCAGACGAGGTGTCTGTCGTAAAATTGCCAAAGCCAGCAGATTGACACTCATTAGCAGGCCGCTGAGAGCCATTGCCCGGGGAAGCAGCGCAGAGAGACCATATCCCACTAAAAATAAATGATTCAAATGATTGGTACTGATAAAGCCGGATGAATTAGAAATAGAAGAGAGCTCAGGCAAGACCTCTGGTTGGCAAGCTGTTGTCACTTGGAAGGCCGCTTAAAGCCTCTATGACACCCACCACCCCCAGCCTCTTAGCGCTGGTAACGGCCACCCTCAAGCTGAGCCCGCTCTTCCTGCTGCCAGTCACAGACATACAAATACTGTAAATTATGCATGCCCACACACACACACACATATACATCAATGTCTGCTTCATGCCACAGTTTAAAAGCAAAAGTGACCAAGCCCAAATCCTAGAGGGTGAACTGAGTAACACAGCCTCTCGTACACGCATTTGCCTTCGCGTACGCCATCATGAATGTCCTGCCCTGTGGCCAGTTGCATAAATTGCTTAGACTAGTCTTAAAAAGTTAGCCATCTAACTTGTTTTGTTCTAGACTGGTCATAACTGTTTAAAGTCAGTAACAAAAATGTAGATTGGCCCAATTTTAATTAGAAAAGTGAGACTGATTATCTCTTGGCTAACTGCTAGTTGGTCAAACTAGTTCTTAAGTCTTAACATAGTGTCTATGTTTATGCAACTGGCCCCTGGTCTTTATGCCTAAGTCCTTTGCACTTTATGTGGCTTCACAGGCAGAAAGGGCACCTGTCCATCACTGCATTTGTTCACCATCCCTAAATTAATTCATTCATCATTATGCATGTCTCAGTCTGTCAATCATTCAATCAATTGGAAGATTATTACAGTAATTTAAGAATCAGGCCCTCCAGCACAGAAAGTAAAAAGAGATGAAAGAAACTTTGAAACGGTATTATTTTGTGTGTGTGTGTGTGTGTATATATATATATATATATATATATATATATATATATATATATATAATAAATTTTTTATTTTGTATGCATATTTATTTATTTTTCTTTTATTTTTTATTTTTTATTTTGTAATAAACAATTTTTGGGGGGTATGACTCTACATTTTTTACTAGTTAGCAATATGCACTTAAAGGACAAGTGTGTCATTTTTTTTCAATATTAAAATCCAGTACATAAAATTCCAGTACATATCTAAATGGGACATTCCATAGACTTCTATTGTTTTATATACGAGTTATAAATACTATAACCTAACCCTAAAAATCTTTACAATAAAAAATAAAAACAAAATGGGTACAAATGTATAGTTAAGTAGAATCAATATACTTATGTATATATCCTTTTAAAGGGATAGTTTACAAAAAATGAAAATTCTGTCAGTTTTGTTCTTCTGTTGAGCACAAAAAGAAGATATTTTGAAGAATGTTGGGAACCAAAGAGTAGACAGTAGCTATTAATATCCATAGTATTTTTTTTCCATTCTATGGAAGTCAGTGGCTAACATCAACTGTTTGCTTACCAAACAGTTGAAAGAAGGAAGCTCATACAGGTTTGGAACACCTTGAGGATGAGAAAATGATGAAGCCATTTTTGAGTGAACTATTCCTTTAAGGTTTCATTTTAGTTAGGGTGCTGCTTTAGAAAGCTAACTGTAAAAGAGGCTTTAATTCATTTGATTTAGTTTTTATTCAATATTAATATTAAATATGATATAATTCAATTTAATATGTATTATTAATATATTATAATATATTATAATATAATTATAATTGTTGACTTACTCTGAGATACAGTGAGATTAAATTAGTTGAATAATGATGTTGAACAAATCACAAAAGCAGCAAAGATTAAAGAAAAAGGCAGAATAGAAGAAGACACATGTTTCGTTACAGGATATGCTCCCTTTTCTGAACCCCTAAATGCATCTGTGTGCTCTCTGAAGGTCTGTTTTCCCACAGTGATCCTTCCTGGATGTGGACTAAATATCCTGCACCCACCCTGCCGAAGGGTGTCTGATCCAGTCCAAATGTGGCAGGCTTCAAACCTTTGCCAAGTGTGTCACCATCAAGGGACAGTATTCAAAAGCTCCTCTGAAACTAAAGACCAGGGGCACAACATGAAAACAACAACCTCAGTTGCTCATAAATCTGTCAAAATTTATAATGATTTTGGGGGCAAAAAAATGAAAGTGCTTTATTTACACAGTAATATTACACGTAGTGTTGTTGTTTTTTTGTACCTGTACTTTTTCACATTCTGAGTTAGTGATGAAAATTGTTCAGAGCTGAAACTCTTAAACCTCATATCAGGTATAAATTATTATTACAATTTAAAAAAATTTGACAGAATATTCCTTACATAAAATCTTGCAGCCTTACTCTTTGTAGCTTTTGTTTATACAGTTAATAAATAAATACATAAAAATTGTATAGATAAATTAATTAATAAATTAACTTAAACAAAGAGCTAAACAAAGTGTCAGTTTGTCAGTCTGTCTGTTTTTATCAGTCAAATCATTCCTGTGAATTTTTCATACCCCTTATAACTTCCCTTTAACCTGTCATAAGCCTGTCAAAGCAGAGAGAGTGAGATGTATTTCAATCAGCTAACAATCTGTGTCATCCACTCAGTGCTGCTAGCCGAGTAAATCTTCCTATATGGATATCATATATTCATTTTATGTGATCTTAATATTATATTATTTAAAAAAATAAAATTACATAATAAATACAATATGCATAATATTATGCAATAAAATAGTAATATAATCACATTTATATAAATTATATTTCATTAGGTGAAGCAAATAAGTGATGAGAAGAAAATGCCAAGAAACCAGATGCATTAGCCTTTCTTTGTGTGTGTGTGTGTGTGTGTGTTCCTACTGTTCCTCAGGTGTATATATATATATATTTTTTTTTTTTTTTATTGAAATTTTTTTATAAGTGACTACCATGATGCGGAAAATATTAAATGTTAACTGACTGAAAGGAAAACTGCATCAGAAGTATCTTTTTGAAGCCAATCTGCTTGTATTACTCAAATTGCCTCTTTTTAGGTGCCTTTAGTTCTATCTTTAGCCAAATTTGCTTGCACACTGCCCAGCAACAATCCAGCGCTGATGTCTTTCTCCACACTATCTCTCTGTCCTGTTTTCCTCCTGTCACTCCCTCCCCACATGTATTAAGATACAAAACTCCTCCTACTCGTATTGCCTTGTTACAGCCCATATACAAAAGAGGATTTAATGGGTTTTGCAGTGATTTATGGCTGTCACGGCTCACCAACGCAATTGAGACTTGACACTGGCCCACATACTTTTTCCAGGCTATGAGCCAACAGATACAGACAGAGACACACACTACTGCTCATTCATGATTTCAGTCAGAGCAGAACGCGGTAGGGCACGTCAGATCTCTCATGCGGTTTTTATCATCTTTAAGAGTCAGCTTTCTCCAAGCAGCCTTGCTGTTTGGATCCCAAGAGGCTGCTGACTCTGCATTACAGGTGATGACATCTGCCTGACAGTAGACATGACAGTGGTGATGATTTCTTAATGTTCACCAAGTGGGCGACAGTGGGGGGCCATTTCTGACATTAGGGAGTGATGGAGGGGAGAGTGGATAATACGGTCCTTTGGCCAATAAGAGGAAGCCATGCTTTGGGGGGTGATCACTTGGGGCCTGCGGAGCAAGCCAGAGGAATGCGGGAGAGCACAGCTGTCTTCTTTTGTCAAACACAGACCCTAAACTGTCTGAAGAATAGATAAGCTTGGCATTTCGTCTGCAGGACCCCTCCTCACCTTCTCTGGCCAGTCTGGTGGGCCACATAGGACAGTTCTACATGCTCAGGGTGTGTTAAGCATTTCCCATCATTCGCATCATTCCTGATGAAATGCTGAAATGACATGAAAATGTGCAGTTGTTTCCTTTAAGTCAATGCAATTTGGCTTTCAAAATTTGCCTTACTTTACTCTATCTAACAGAATTTTGAGGGAAGTGAAGCCAGATTGAATGTATGTTTGCTAAAAACAATCTCTAAACAGCTATTTGGCAATTGCTTAACATTATTCAGTAGCCTGCATGTATTGACAGAAAGAGAGAATTAATTTCAGAGTAAGTTATTGTTTCAGAGCAAAAAAAATAATTTCAGAGCACGTTATTGTATTTCAATTTCAGATTGAATATTATGAAGACAGTTAACAATGAATAATTCACAACTAAGAAAATCACACAAAAATAGGGATAGTTCACACAAAAATGAAGATGATGTCATCAAAATATCAAAAATAACATTAAATAGTGTAAAATATAAATACAATTTACTGTGTGTGTGTGTGTGTGTGAAATATATTTTATTTATATTTTTCATTATAGAATAGAAATAGAATAAAATAAAATGCTATTCTATGTTTTTTATTTTATTATTTAAAAAACATTTATATTATATCATTATATAATTTTATATAATATAATGTAAAATTACATAATTTAGATGTTAACAGAACATTTTGGTTTACAATTTCAGGTTACATTTTTTTAGGCTCTTTCCTAGAATCAGTATAAATCAGCATCATAAAAGGTTAAATAATTTTAATTTAACTGAAGTTATTTTGTTATTATTATTATTATTATTATTATATATTTCTTTTAAGCAACTGAAAACTATTAGAACTGATACACACACACAAACGTATTTTTATTCATATTTCTGTGCTTTTTTAAGCAACTGAAAAAAAAAATCTGTTCTTGACTATTAGAACTGATACACACACAAAAAAAGTATTTTTATTAATATTTCTGTGCTTTTTTTTCAAGAAGACTTGCAGGAAAGGTCACATCTGTAGCCCTGGATATGTCTGCATGTGGGTCTCTCCTCCGTGTTCAACAACGTACAACTTAGCGCCTCAAGCTTGCACTCAGTCACTGCGTTTATGGAGGTGACACAAGGTTCAGAGACTGGATGGAGAATGCACACCCCACAACAACAGCAGATGCGCATTCAAAAATGAATGTACATGTGGAAAATCCCTTTTGATGGATGTGGATGAAGTAGGTGTTAACTCTCATGTTTAATGGTACGATCCACCACACGTGTGATGTAAGACCTAGGGACATAAATCACAAAATTGCTGATTGAAAGACTTTATGGACATTGACAAGTCTGCTCCCCTTTCCAAGAGACTCAGCATTGATTACCAGCTAATTATAAATGAAGGAAGTGGCAGCTTGTTTGTTTCTAGGGTTGCAGTGGAATATATTTACACTTCTTCAGGAGATCATGTGATATCGGGTGAGAATTCCACAGAGCACTAAGTGCTACCTTCTCTGCTCTCTTTTTCTTCTTCACTCTAGTTGTCTATCTCTCACTCCTCTAATGCTCTCTCTCTACACCTTTTAATTCTGCCGCCTTTCCACACCGTTCCAACGACCCCCCTGCCCGTGTTCACAGCCCCTGTAGGTGGTGCCTCCCAAAAGCCTTCTTTCACACCCAAAGTGGGGTTTCAAATAAGCATATGTTGCGTTAATTAGGTCCCGGTGCCTGACAGGAAGGCCTAGTGTAAGGGCTGACTTGAAGAAACATATGTTGCTAAGTCTCTCTAATCAGAGCTGTTCACACAGTGATTATTAGACATGTTGTACTCATGTCCTCATCCAGCTCCCCATATTCACCCACA